AGGCTCTGGTAACATTCTCTCAGTGAAGCTTGCTAAAGGTCGGTCGCTGAACTTCTGCCCTTCGTGGGTGCGCAAAGCATATTATTGACTTGAGTTGAACTTAGTTGTCCATGTTGGGTCCGTATTGGAAAGCCAGTTAACAGATGTGTAACTCAATGATTTTACCTCAATGATACGATCCAATAGAGTGAAACTCGAACGCTGAGTTCGTGTCCGATGTTTCACAAGTGACAGAACCTGATCACATGATCCACAGTAATTGTTTCTTCATAAGGCTCAGATACATGCATTAAGGGTGGATCGAGTTTATTTATGATGGAAGCAGTGCGGTATGAATGGGTCACTGCAGTTTCTTAATCGTTTCCATCGGTTGACTAGTGGCGTCGACCGGAAGCCACAAGTGTGCTTGGTCACCAATACGCGTGACCACACAAACACACACCTTCACGTAGTGGATAGCCAGTGGTAAGCTCCACTTGTCAAATTCTCCGATGCCTAGCCTGTCAACCGTTATCTAGCTAAATCATCCCGAGTTCACAAACTCTAATCTCTCAAACCATCGCGGTTGGTATGGACTTAGGTTTGCATACTTGTATCGGTGCGTACAATGTGACACGTGCATGTCAGCCATTAAATTTCTCCCAATCCCAAATTTTCGACCCTTGTACGCATGCACGGATGTGCATTGTAACACTTCCGGTTGTCAGGACAATGGCGCTGGCGCTGTCAAATTGTCCATGCCAAAGAGGGACGGACAAGAGTAAAAGTGCTGTAATCGATGCCAAATTGTAACCGGTTAGTCGAAGGGCACATGTGTACAAGCGATCTGGCATCGGTAGGTTCTCCAGCAGCGTTGGTGACTAAAGTATGCTTTCTACACTCGGTTCGCCCAGTGTCCCAGAATGATGCTAATACATTGGTTTGACTGCTACACTGCGTAATTTCTCTCCTTGGGATCAATGGTCAGAAATGAGGGATTTATTGCTTCCAACTTTACTGGATGTTTCAAGATCAACGTGTATCCGTTAACAGACAGCTGCTACACAGAGGATCCCATTTGAGCGACCAACCAGTTCGAAGTATTAGTCACAGAATGTGCCGATGGGTAAATCTATGCATAGACTTCTTCCGTAATCACATGCGTTAAGTACAACGGATACGTAAGTATAACAAAAGTCGCTACTTCAGAGACAAGCGGTTTATTCAGCAACGGCAACTCAGCGCAGAATAGTCGCACGGCTGATGCGCACAACAACTTGATATACATTGTCCCATAAATCATTGCGTTTTGGGCTGGAGAGATTCCTTTTGTTGACCCAGTTACACAATGCATGAGTAACTCACCGTAGCGTTCAAGAACAGTAGCCGATCAGCGCAGCAGTAAACATGGACAACTAAACCTCTGAGTCAGTTGCTCGGATCCGTCCGATTCATCACCCACAGACTGACTTCTCTCTTGGATCCAAGTGGTCAATCTGGTGCGAGGTTCCCATAACAATAGGCAATTCAGCTATTTTTGCACCGCCTATTTGCCATACCACTCCAAATTGCCTTCCGTACTAAGATACGCTGCAATATCCATTGTTTATCTTCTGGAAGAAAGCAAACAGCCGGCTGCTTTGACTGCGAATAGCTCCCGAACAACGTCAGTTACAGAAAGGATTGGGGTAGCTCAACGCTGCTCAAATAGCACGTGCAGTCACTGACGGTGAAGACTCGAAGTACCTTGCATGGAAGGCATGCCGTTGAGGGCCACACCACATTCGCAAGCGACGCACACGCTTTCAACATACCTATTAACGATCTAAATCTCGCATACGAATGATACGAAACTTATCCTAGGTGGTGATTGGGCTGTTACCTGTGCAGTGATGGAACCACACTATAAGACTTGAGCTGTCACTAAAAAGGTGAATCTCGTCTCCTCAGGCAATGCACACCAAACTCATGGATCCAGTCGTCTATGTGGGTAATTGGGTTCAGTTGCCGGACCACACTCTGTGGTGAATTGCATGAGCCCCAAAGTCATGACTTTTCAAACTTGGTTCTGCAACAGGTGAGAAGATTTGTGGGCACTCAAGTGCCGCGTTGATTAATTAGCATTCAAGTAGCTGCAAATGTATTGGAACCCGCGGAATCGAAATGTGAATCTAATAGGAACAGGTTCCGTGGCTAACGCGTGGTAACACCGACGCGGATGTGCATGCGCGGGCAAAAATTGCAACACCCAGTATCTCCACCCCTGGTGCCGATGATGGAAAATCTGCTCTTAGTGGCCACTTCACTTTACTCAACATTCCATTGTTCTTTCGTTCATCATTACAGGCCGTCACGCCTCTTTGAGTGAACGCAAGTGTACCCAACTGACGTAGATGCGCATGTGATAAGCCGTCAATGTCCGCGGAGATGTTAGTCCCGCTTTGGAGTAACCATGACATCAGGAAAAGTGGCGACACCCCCACTCCAATTCACACCGATGTGTTCAGAGTCGCAGTCGATGGGACCGGCATATTTATGTTCTCCTAACAATTCCCTGATCGGATTACAATGACACCTCGCTGTATGAGGGTGTGCCAACATCCTTTCGTTTGAACCCACATGCCTGCCTCAATTACTCACCCGCTTGCTTGCTGGTATGCACAGGAAATTGGCGCTGGTAAAGCAGCTTTGTCCCGCAGTACGGATGTTACACAGATAACATCGCCATGTGCCGGGTGCCACTTATTGTCTCACAGTCCCATGTGTAGGCGGTGTCTCAGTGCTAAACCGCCCCGTCGTGCTCATCGGTGACCGAGTCATCACGTCTTGGTGTGAGTGTGTGTGTGCATACGTATGTATGTAAGGGAAAACAATCGGAAAGGCGCTGAAACTAACAAGGTTCCCGGATTGAACGCAAATCATTGAGCCACTCAATCCATTGCCATGTTTGCTCCTGAAGCATCAGGGTGTATTTAAGGGTAAACTTCACAAATACTCCCCTAAAGAACCTCAAGGAATGGAGACTGGCAATTTGCGGAATCCCTTGAATTTGATCTGAGTCCGGATTTCAGCTGATGAGCGACTGCTGACCGATCAAGTGCACCCTCTTTTGATGGTACATGGTAAACCAGATAACCACCCTCCTTTTCTGGTTCATTAATCAAACCCTGGCTTACAAAACCCGACCGCCTTTTGGGAGCAATCTCTGTGGTTTTGTACGCTCTTCTGAATTACCGCGGCAGACAGCGTTCACGTATTCGAGTTTACGGTATAAACTATTCCACTGAAACAGATTCACACTGTGGCCAAAAGTTACCCAGATCAAACGCACGTACACCTCGAAGAGTTAACACCTGCGCCAATCATATGTACAGCCCAACCTTTCCTTGCTCATAAGCATCCGGTGGGTTTCACAAGTATTCAACTACAAAACAGCTACATTTGTCATCTCTCGATTGCAAGAATTGTAACCTAGTGATACAGAGCATCTTAGGTTGCGTATCGGTGAGATAAGTTAGTAGGGCACATGTTTCATACATATGACAATTACTTGTTACGAATGGCTAATCAGTCTCGCCACAGCAGCAGGTTGGGTGAATAATCACCAGACAATCGTGCAACAACCCTAGCCTGGGAATTTCTGCATGTGTGTGCTATGTATCACAGCGAACATAGAACGTAAGGTGGCAGTGCAGTCAATCCGCAACCGGACATCATGTCTCGCGCTGTTTGGCGGCGCATTATTTGTTTCAAGGTCACACGGAGGAGGGTAGAGGTGCCACAGAATTGTGGTCTACTGAGAAACCCTTGAGAATTGCTGTAAATCACGCAGGCAATATCGCTCAATGACTATCTGCGCTTTCACAGTTTCTACCAGGGACATAAGCCGCTGACTCGTAAGAGTAAGGTCGTGGATTCGAATCCGGCAGGATTCGGCGGGTGCGTGTTACTGACGAGTTCCAACAGGATGAAACTGCCGTCTAGCACATACCTGGATGTGTGGTGGTTGTCTGCCTGGGTCTAACGACGACGAATCTTCACAAAATAGCCAATAAATCCCCTACTACCTACAAATAATCAGTAGGCGCGTTGGCAGCTAACACGCCACCTCGATTAGTGGCGACGTGCAAAGGAAGTCGTGGCTCTGACAGCCAGCCCTGCCTTCTGCAAGTGCTTCACATGCATGGCAGTGGAGGTTGAGCCACGCTAAATCGCAGTTACATATCAGTCATGGCAGTCCGCTGACGACGCCATGGCTCAGTGACATAAGTCGCTGGCTCGCAAGAGTAAGGTCGTGGGTTCGAATCTGATGGGATTCTGTGGGTGCGCGCTACTGAGGCGTCCCAATAGGACGAAACGACTGTCGAGCGCTTTCCTGGATGTGTAGTGGCTGTCTACCTGAGTCTAACTGCGGCGAATGTTCACAAAATACCCAACAAATTCCCATACTACTTACAAATGCCTTTGGTTCATTTTTAGGTAACGTTTCGTAACAATGGCAACTATGGTTGGGCGCCAAAATGCCCTCTCAGACAGGATCAATAAGATCCATTGGATATTCACGGCGGGAACTTTGGAAAATCTCCGAAGACAGGTGATCACGTAATCAAACTTGAACATTTAAGCCGATCGTACTGCTTAGCTGGCAAACAAATATTCAACACTGCGTGATCTGAAATAGAAGGAGAATCTCTTAGAAACTGTGGCAAGTCAACTTTAGCTTGAATGACTGCACTTCACTGTGTTGGCGCTAGGCGCAACATTCAACAATAAGCGTTAAAATTGGAGAGCTTTAGATACACATGGTGTTTCCTACCTGTAATGCTTCCCAAAGCCAGTAACTGGGGTTCCCAGTCTGAGACCATATTGGTCGCGATTCTTTCGTATTGGTACCTCGGTAGACATGTGGGATAGTGAACAGCATTCACACTCCACCGGCCCACTCTCCTGAAGCCAATTCAAACTTAGTATGTCAAGTAGGAACAAGCAACACACCCGTAGTGTAAGTTTGCCCTTGTTGAATGGACGATGCGGCACGCGTGCCCAATGGCCGCATTGCCCACGTGATTACGAAGGGATACCGAAAGCACCATCTTGGTGTTGGGCCGAGCATTACCCGCTCGACTAACCGTCACCTGTTCGTGACCTCGTTCATACCCGAACAGGCCGAATCGGTTGAGGTACTTAGGGTCATAATTACTGCGGAACCCGCGTGTGAGGGTGACAGGTTACTTCATTAATGCCGCCATTCCACACTGCATTGGGCATTTGTCGAGCGGCTGACCCGCACCACACCATCGTCACATAAGTCGTTTCCCTAGTTATCCATGGTGATGCAAAGAGCAACAATCTCGAGATGGGATTGAATTCTTGTCTGCTATGTTGACCGATTAAATTGCAGGGGGAGCGAAACAATGATGACTTGGTGTTAGCGGGTCACCACCACACTGACAACTGGTTGCTCAGCGTAATACGTCGACTTATGCATTGCGACCAGCCCAAGATCCATTCACAATGGCTTTCATACGGCACCTTATTCAAAGGTTTTCCGAACAGCTGTCAACACGTGCAGTGAGCTGTGCTATGCGTAAGCAGATGGCTTGCGCGTTATCGATGCCGGGTGGCATTGATGATAGGTGATGAAACTTACGGAACCCAAGTGAGCTGCTGTCACATTGGACTCGTGCACAACATGTGTGCAGTCAGCACACCGTCACGTAACTGGATGGTGGGGGCTGGAGCTTAACAGATTGGGCCATACGAATGTCCACTGCGAGCATACGAAAACACATTCGGACACGCAATCATCGATTACACGTGGTCACATCGAGTTAGCTGTAAAAAAGTTTACAGTGCGATTGGTGTGTTTCCTTTGTTGACCTAGTTTGGACACATTGAGGCCACTGATGGGATAAGTTGCGTGTGGTAAACAATCAGATTGACGCCAATAGGTTGCGGAGAGAAATGAGACTCATCCACGTACCTCTTTTATTGCTTCCGTTAGGAGGACGGACAATCCGCATTGCAGGCACTCTAAAAGAAACAATCCGTCATGTGGTGGTGTAGTACATCGTTGCACCTCGAATGGACACTTGAAATAGTGCATGAAGATCGATTATGGGTGCTTTCTCCATTGATTGGACATCTGAGGCGCTGCAACAGGGTCCTCAACATTGCAACATAAGAATTTTTGGTCCAGTCGCGTGTATCTCCTTCTGCCCTTGCAGTGCAACAGTTACAATGGCGAAGTTATTTATTTATTTATTTATTTAGTTATTCGCGTCTGTAAACAGACAAACTTGCCATGGCGGTAGGGAAAGGAGAATATAATGTTTAACGAAGAGAGAGTAAAACGTTAGAACAATGTACTTTTTCAGTTTCACACAAGCCGCTTTGGGTTTTTTCTGTTTTCATGTTTTGTTCAACATTAAAAAGCACAGGATGAAGAGATGGTAGAATAGCATTGATGCCATTGACTCCTATTGCGGGTCATATCCTCTAAGACTTCCAACCATTGGGAATCCGCTTCACATGGTCCCCAGCCTAGGAGACACACGGATCCAACTGATGTTAGACACGAATTTAGCATCTTCTTACTCCTTGTCCAGGTCATCGGTTGTCCGCCGCGGTTCTGTTTTCATTCGCGTCCAGGAAGTGCAAATAATGCGCGACGTGGAAGGCGGTGTGCCGGCATGCGCAGTAAGTCATCGAGCCAACGCAAGCGGTGCTGGATGATTATGCTCTGGAGACAAGGACTGTCCGTTCCCATGATTCTGCTGTTAACTTCCGTGTTGCTCATATGGTGCTGCCACCATACGTAAGCAATCGAACGCAAGCAGCGGTGGTCAACAGTAGACAGTCGTCCCGACTTTTCCGATCGAACAGGCCAGGTCTCGCATCCGTACAGTAGGAGAGCACAAACTGTCGCAGTGTACACTCGGCTCATGAGCTTGAGACTGAGATCGCGACGACGCCACAAGTGTCTCAGGTTAGTAAATGCAAGGCAAGCTTTGGCAATTCGTTGTGAAATTTCATCACCAATACCGCCACTAGCCGTAATGCAACTCCCGAGATAAGTAAAGCCGTTAACGAGCTCCAGGCTGACACCCGAAATGATGAGCGTAGGCACAGGAGCCTGCCAATCCTGGAGCGAAGCTTTACACTTGGGTGGAGCAAAATACAGACCGTAGTTAGATGCCTCCATCGCTAAGCGGTTCAGAATATTTTGAACAATCTGCGAGTCGTCCCTCAACAAAGCGATGTCATCAGCATAGTCCAGGTCCAGGACTCTGCTCCCGGGTAGGAGCTCAACGCCGCAACTCTGGGCTCATTCCAGTGCGTGATGTAGGACATCTTCGATGGCAAAGTTGAACAGGAACGGCAAGATAGGACAAGCTTGGCGCACTCCACTGGTAACAGGAAACGAAGAAGAAAGCCTTCCATAAGCTCTAAGTTTGCCAGAGGTGTGACGATACAGCTTTTTTAAGAGTATGACAAACTTGTCGGGAAAGCCGTTCCGTAGCAGACAGTTCCACAGTAACAACCTAGCTACTGTATCAAAAGCGGCTCGGAAAGCTCATGTTCGACACATCCAGTAAGTGGATGCGTGTGAAGATAAAGTCGGCAATAAGCGAGTCAACAAAAGTAAGCTCTTACATTAATTGATTTGCCAATAAGTTTGCATGAACATAAAAGCTCCTGCCGACATTTTACGCGAAAAGATGAGCATATCATTTTCTGCATTACATCCAACTGAGTCCGTGTAAAGCCATTTGATGTAAACAGCTGAACGCATCTTCATCCAGGTTTTTGCACGTACCGAAAGTACTGGGGCAGTAACAACGGAATTCTAAACTGCATCCTGAGCCATGTACACCTGTGATTTGGAAATTCTACACTGTTTCGGCCAGCTACTCTACGTGACAATCTAGCTAGTGTTCACTTACCTTGTACGTCTTAGCGAAACGACACAAACCACACATCTGATGACATCAAAGGATTTCGTAAAGCTCGCGTTCATACTGTGTTCCTGCTGCGTCAAACACCAAAAGACTATGAACACGTTTAACTAGCTACAGCTGCTGACATGGCAAGGAGCCGACCACAGTGGCGTTCATGCTGGGAGTTTTCTTGTCCCCCCCCCATCCAACCACGATCTCACTTCGTAGTGTAATATAAGTTTACATAATAAGTTTTCTTGTTGCATAGTAGCCGGCTGGTAGCTTACCGGAAAGATGAACAATGAGCAATGAACAATGATTTATCACGGGATAAAAGCAAGTGCTTGACACATCCCGTAGGATGGTTGAGGTGAATATGATGAAATCAAAATATGTCTGGGTCGTCTATCGAACGTCTGCCGAGATGAATAGTTGCTGGTAGCTCAGCTGGCGTGCAACTGTCGTATTTATTTTCCTTTTTCTTTTATGTATTGCGGCACAGTAGCTGAGGTGTTTCCCACCTCTAGCTAATGTGTATAAGGAATGATGATGCTACATCAAACAGCAAAACACAGAAGCAAGGCGAAGTTCTACCTGATTTCAATAACTGCACAAGGGATTGCTCGTTTGTCGGGGACACGGTGTTCGCCTGGGAATTGCATGAGTGCCGCCATCATTTTCACCAAATTATTTATGCTTCAGTATTTGTACAAGCAATGATTTCGGGAGCACATCCACCGTGTAAGTTAGGAAGCGCGTAAATTTGATCCAACAAGTGGTTTCAGCAGCCCATCTTGTCGACCAGACCGAGGAAGCGACGTTCGTAATAGCGATGTTGAGTAATGATCACAATTCACTGTCGTTCCTTCACACGGAACCTGGTGTGGCAGCATATTCGGTGGATGTGAGTCTCCGCGATTAGTAGGAGGCTCCCTGATACAGTGTACATGAGTTGATGGGGAAAATATCCCCACACCCACGTTAATGTGCCGTGTACGCTGCGGTGTAAGTGTGCAACTTATATTGGGAAACGGTGTAACACATGTGTGGTCCCGGCATTCCATGGCGTCTCCACACACACCGATTGACAGAATTCCATTGGCAGACCAATCGGTAATAGTGCTTGACTGACTTCAACTGATGACGTCTCAGGCCATTGTTAATGGGCGTTCATCGCCGTGTCCTTTCCAGCAGTGCCATTTGCAAGAACACATTCCATTGGTTTTACTCATTATCACTGTTCTGCTTGGTTATGTTAAAGGAATATTTAATCGCCACACGATTATTGTACTAGTTTTTCATTTTTTGGTCTGCACTTCTTATTCTCGTTTGTTTCGTGACATTTGTTTAAACGCTACGTGTCATTATTCTGACTGGCCAGTGCCCGTCACTGTAAATGGATGTTCGCTTTACGCTTGGGGTCCCATGATGATATATTTATGGATATATGCGATTGGCTCCTGAGTACACGGTCGCTTATTCGTCGTTACATTTGAAGTTTTCCTTCTGTTGGTTGGCTCAAGTGTAATTTAGTAGCTTCCCTTCATTTTGCCTTCAAAACTATCTAAGCAAATGTGATTTCATGTATACAAGTCTCTTTCCAGCTCGTTTTTTGACTTCTTGCGGTCGTGGGCTGAAGGCGTCACTGGCGACACAACAATTACCCAGTTCACGAGGCTAATGGCAAATGAGTCTTAAACTAGTGTTTCATAAGAAGCCAAGGAATATCTTTCTGATTAGTAGGATAGGAAAATATATGTCTATAAATGATTCGTCCTAACGGATTTACAAAGCCTATCTGGGTGCGCAGGTCTGGGATGCCTACAAAAATCAGAGAAATCATGGTGTCAAACTGGACCGCGAAGACAAACTCAAACTGCAACGAGACTTAGGGACGAAATTCACTACTAATCCCGATATGCTCCACAGGCACGTAAACAAGTTCCAGAGAGTGCAGCACGGAATCACAGTTCTACGTGCAGTGGATAGTCCTGACGGTCACTACACAGGATGCGGAAAAAGCGCTTCAGCAACAGTTTACCCCCACTTTCCAATGTGAATCATCACCTCATCCGTTCTTGGCGCAGCTCCCTCTGCATCCAGGATTAAGCCACGCATTATTCACCGCTGCAAAGGCTGTCGTCGTTGCGCTTGCACAGCTTTCTTGGTGTGGACACTATCAGACCGAACGCATTACAAACGGTAGCCGTGAACTTTGCCGGAACGCGGGCACCGTTCTT